ACGCTTGCGGACGCTTGCGGACGCTTTGCGAACGCTTTAACGACGATCCCTGGTCAACGATTGGACCCCTGGACCCCAACCTTTGAAACGAGAACCCTTCTGCTACGCATTCGGGAAAAAACAGCATCTTCTGCAAAGATGCCATGGCCGGCTTGATGTGGAGCAGTCCCAAACCTGTCAGCTGGATTTCAATCCTCTTGATCTTGACCTCTACTTGGCCATCTGTGTCTACACTACATCTGCTCCAGGACCCTACGGCTTCCCAAACACATGACTTCAATGGTTCGGAACTTCGCCGGAATTGCAAGCCCTACTTCTTCCGATCCTCACCAGAAGCATTGAATCCTAAAACCCTAAACCCTAAACAGATAGAAAAGAAAGCTCCGGCCTGAGATTGGTAGCGCACGGCGGCTCGGTGCCTCTTGCAACAATAAGAAGGAAGACGAAGCTACCTGCCCGAAGCCTAAGCGCTTGAGGCTTGAGACACTGAGGCTGCAAACTGTGGATGCACAGCACTCAGTCAAGGATCCCCTCCCCACCTGAAAGTCCGAAATAGCTCGGTCACCAAAACCCATTCGATAGAAGCTGGCGAGTGCCTGAGACCATCGGCCGTTGTTCGGCGAGGCCAGTTCACCATTGAGGTTCAAAGACCAGACCTCAGCTCTTACTGGCTCATGAATTTTGTGAGCTTCCACAGGGCTGCTCACACCTGTCAGAGCTGTTAGAGGTAGGAACTCTTCATATTTGTGTCTTTGTGCGGCATTGCGGGCATCATGCATCTAGCTGAGAGCGCGGGGACCCGGCCGTGACGATACCTGAACCATCGCCAGCTGCCAGGAGAAGCGTTGGGGGCGACTCCTCGGTCAAACGGCAAAGGCTTTCCTGCACTGACTATTTTACATTGCTTCAGATTTATTGGCTCTCATATAAGAGTTGGCATGGCTGCTGCGCAGTTGTCGGACGGGGTCTGCCAGCATTGTCTGCCGAAGGTTTTATGCATGTGTGCAAGTGTACAACATGTACACACTTCCAGGCATACATGTGTGCTTATATGCATGTGTTACTGGATGTGAGCATGTATGTAGGCGTGCAAGTATGGGCGTAAGCACGTACGTAAGCATGTAAGAAACTATTTTTCAAGTTTTTATGTGTTTGTGTGAGTAAGTAAGTTTGGAAACATAGGCGGTGTATATGTACATAAATACGTATGTATGTATGCATGTATGTACGTATGTACTCCGTGCATTCGCAGACAGTATGGCAATGTTCCCATCCATCTGACATGGAAGCTTGCAGTAAAATATTGAGCTGAAGGGAAGCTTCCGCTTCTCATTTGTGGCAGGGCACGGAAGTCTGCGCCAAATCCTGAGCTGGGATGGGCGTTTTAGGTTCAGGGTTCTGAGTTCCTTCCAGTCATCCGGGTCAGGGCAATTAAAGTGCAAGGACCCCCTCAAAACCGAGATGTGATCTCATGCCATCTATGCTTTCAAGAGCTGGAAGCTGGGACATGACACCCTCTGGAAAACCAAACCTAAACGATGGGAATCACAAGCTGCTCCAACGGTCTTTGACAAACCGCGACTCATGCTTGGCCAGGACTCCAACTTTGAAATGACCGGTGTGCTGCCGCGCTGGATTTTCCATATAGCTTTCGCACCCGACCCATCCGCCATCCAGCCTGTCGCAGAGAAAGAAGAGAAAGAGACAAGGTGATCCGTTTTGAGTCACTCTAGGGAGCAGGAGCCTGTTGCAGACTCTATAGCACTTAACGCCACCTCACGGACTTCTGTCCCAGAGCCTTCCGCAGCCTAAAGGCCTCAACTCAACGCAATGGAGCATGCCTTTGGAGGAGCCCTTGGCTCAAGACTGAGGATGTAAAACGGGCTCTGGCTGGCTTTCATTGAATACTTGGAGGTTCATGGGTAGTTATAAGTGGAGTTATAAGTAAGCTACCTATAGATAGTTATAACCCATATTAGGGGACTTATAACCCTACTTTTAACTACCCATGAACCTCCAAGTAAGGGCTGCTTGACTTGACGGTATAGGAGAATACATATGCAAACGCAATCGTTTTCTACGTCCTGACGTCCCATCACAATATTGGAGTCAGTACGAATTACAGCCCATTCCTAAGCATAATAAGGATCCCTCTACACTTGTCCTCCTTGGTACCAAAGCATTGATACGTCAAAACAAAAATGCTTTGGAACGCGACAGAACACAGACGAGTTGAAGAAGCCACCATCAGAACACCGGAACACCCTCCTCTTCTAAACGCTACCAAGCCTAACCTCTCAAGCCCGAAAAACCCAATGCAGGGGCCTTAACAATTAGAATAGGGTTTTGGGGGCCCTTTATAGTACATAGTTACAATAAAGAACCCCCAAAATAGTATAGGTAACTATATATTAAGGCCCGTACATATATTAAGCTCCAACACCCTCCGGCAGACCTTGGAGCCCTCCTCGCTGCATGGCCAGCACGACCAGATACCTGAGAACTTCCAGCTGGTAGGCGCTTCCGAACGATTGCTTTTAGGTTTTTTTTTTCCTGGCTGCTTTGGCATTCAGGTTCAGGGTTTCTAGTCTTAGGGTTTGGGGTTGTAGGACTCCGGCTGCGGAGGGTTTGCTAACATTGGCCTTACCTGGTGAGCAGTGCGGCCTTAGGTTCATAGCATCAGCAGACTGGCTCTTACTCTGTGGCGGACGCAATTCTTACGAAATACAGCAGGTTGCAGGTATCAGGTGGGATTGATCACATGAGGTACAGCTAGATCTGTCCTCACCCGGTTGAAGCATTGGCGCAACACTGTTTTCAGGTGGACGCTTAAAGAAGCCATACCTTCGTCTACGACATACTCTCGCTCTCTAGACTCCAAAGCCTTAGCCCGCTTTGAAGCTCCCTTAACTCGACGTATCCCTGCTTCTTGACCAGGTTCATTGCCATCATCTGTAAGCAGGAATTTGCCAGGCTTCGTTTTGCGGTCGGATCGTAGCTCGCACTATAAAAATCTCGTTTGGAGGCAGCATGGAGAACTTCTGATCATGGCCGGAAGCTCGCCATGGAATGGGTAAAGATGCAGCTTATAAGGTGTCAAATCTGCAAAGCCTGCCGTCCCGGAAACGAGCAGCCCTGCACATCGCCTACACGAACCGAAACTTAAGCCTTAAGGTCCACGCTCCTAATCTGAAAACACTCTCTGACGCCCTGCCCTACGCTATGGCCCAAAACCTTGAACGCATGCATCCTTCGAAACCCTAACACAGAATCAGCTCGACTTCCTACAAACCGTTTCTTAGCCCCTATAGCCCTGAGCCCTAAAACCGCAGTTGGAGCCCTAATTCAGATTTCCTAATAATATAGGGGCCTTAATAATTAGAATAGGGTTTTGGGGACCATTATACTGTACTTATAATAAGGAACTCCCCCAAAATAGTATAGGTAGTTATTAAGGCCCCTATGTAGATCTCAAAAAACTCGAGAAAGCCTTGGATGTTGGCGCCTGCTTTTTTCACCAGCTAGGCGAAGGATGCTCGCAGCAGTGACCTGCTGAAGCCGACTGCGAAGAGCTTCATGCGTAGTTTTGTCTTTGGTACCTTTAAGCACCTGCTGAGCCGTGACTATAGGTGCCAAGGGTCGGAATTCGTCACCATTTCGGCGATTGAATTACGTGGGGGTTAGAAGTAAGGCAAATAGGGAAACTCAAACTTTACTTATCGCTCATATTGGGGGATTTCTAACCCCACTCCTAACTTGTAACACACCCATAAGAGGCCCTTTGAAAGGAGGGCCCGTGCGGTTGTCTTTTTCTTTGGTTGTTGTTGCTTTTGTGGGGGTACCAAGGGTGCATACAGCAGGAATTTCTTAGTAAGGGACCTCTATGAAGTTGCCTTTTGTAGGGCTTCATGGCGGCGTTCTGTAAATCCGGATTTGCCAAGCGGATTAGCAAACTGACTGTGTTGACGTAGGACAAGAGGCGAGGAAGTCTGTGCCCATCGGGAACACTGCTCTGCATGGGCTGTCCCGTCTAGCGCTCTCCCGAAGACTTCCCCCTCTCAGAAGTCTGTGGTTTGGCCTGGGTGGCGCCCCCGTGCAAGTGAAAAAGCTCCTGGCCGAAAGCTATGGCTAAGGAGCTGGAGGGTATTGGAACCGGGCTTGTAGAGAGGTTTTGATTCTAGTGACTGTAGTGGCTTTGCGTAGATATTGGATGAATCTGGGCTTGCTGGGTTTGAACGCGATCGTTTTCCCGTCACCTGCTCCCTGTTGTTCCTGGTGCTCGGATTGCCGGACATAAATACTCCAGCTATGCCTTGTAGACCAGAAGCAGGACGAATATCGTCGAGTTTGTTCATGCCGTGCTCTCTGCGGCATGGCTGCTAGACAGGAAAACCGCTACAAGTGATGCTCGAGCCCTTCCTTTCAGACCACAAGGCCCGCAATCAAGACCATGACGATGACACGTGCCGCTCCTTTGGCTCATCATGCGCCGGGATGTGGAACAGCATCACGTTGTCCTGTGCTGAGTGTTTAGGGTTAGTGCAGTGGCTCGGCAACGAAGTTTCTGAAGCCCTATCCAACCGAAGCCGACAATGGATCCGTGAATTTCTAGCAGATGCTGGCCCCTTTCGCCGCTCAGACTCGAACAAAGCGCTACCCTGCTCGCGGCAGTTCATGCCTCCGGCTCAGCCTGCGGAGCTTGAATGCAGGCCATTCAACAAAGGAGATGCTGGGAGCCAGCAAGACATGCTGAGACCTGATAGCCTCAGGCACTTTCTAAAGCAAATGGAAAATCAAGACCTTTGCTTGCATGAAAATCACAGGGGCCCTAGCCCTAGCAATCAGCCTGGGCCAGGAGCCCCAATTCTCCGAGGAGTGGTGCTCCATGGCGCTGCAACAGCCAGATTCCCAGCTCACCGGCTTTGGGCGGGCCCGAGGCGGGCATCTGCTGGAAGCTTTGCACGCCTTTCTCCTTCAGGGCTTCGGGTCAGGGCTTCAGGAGGTCAGGACAAACACAATGACAGGAACTTCTCCAAAGTATAGGGCTGCACTACAGAACAGACTGATCAGCGGCATTCCTGAAGTCGTACTGGTGCTCGATCTCTTCCTATCGAGTGACATTTCGCAAAAAGGTAGCCGTGGGTGGAAGCTCCGGAAGTTGGAATCAGACGCTCAAAGCCACGCAGCTTCTCTGTGCGTGGAGTTAGAGGCTTCAGCACCCTGAAGTAGCTGAAGTAAGTACATCCCTCAACCCTGCTACACCCTGAAGCCTAAGTATGCTCTTCAGGCCCTCCTTCAGCATCTCGAGGGCTTGCATCTCACGCGGGGGATCGCCTCGGCTCTTTTCTCAAACTTTCTCAACAAAAGCTGCGAAGTTAGGCTTGAAACTGGGGACTGGGGGCGCGTTCTGGCGAACCGCAACAAACTCCGATGAGACTGGTTCGGTGCCTCAGAGAGCCGGATTCAAGGAGTTGTTGGCCGCTTTGCTTTGGTAGATTCGGCCTTTCACCCAAGAAGAGTACTAATACTGGCTCTGGGTCCTTGGCAAGTCCTTGGGGACCCAAAAGCTTAAACGACAGTAACACACCCCCTGAAACCTCCAGCTACGCACAGCACGAGCTGCATCTCCACCATGCAAACATGCGAACTACCTAGTTTCAAGGTGGCGCTGGCGTTAGCATCCTCGAAAACCCTGAACCGATCTTCGGAATGCTTAAAGAATCGCAGCCCCACGCTACCAAGCCGCGGATCACCGCCGCCAGGACAGCAGCTGCCAAAGGCGCTGCGAGCGCTGCGGCCAAAGTTTCGGCCAGAGGCTCCTTGTGGGGTCGGGAGGTTACGGGTCAGGGTTTAGGCTTAAACTAGTGTTTGATGTTTGGGGTTTAGGGGGAACTTGGGTATGGGTGAGGAGGACTGGAACTGAATCGGGTCGAGATTTGCGGGAACATGGGGCTGGAACGAGGTATTTTGGGATACATTCTTTAGGCATTGGCGGCTTGGGTTTTACTTTTGGGTAGCTTGAGGCTGGTGCGCCTTGGAACCTTTCGAACTATGGCTTCACGCAGCTCGAGCCCATTGCATGTTTTCGACTGGGATGGCACCGGCTCGGACTGAAAATGCAAATTGCAAGTACTACAGCCACCATCGACCCTGAAATGCAGCCACAGCCAAATCACGTCAACTTCCTCAGCCGGAGCTCTCAGAACAGTTCCCTCTTCTCAGCAGCAAGCGGGCCGCGATTGCTATCCCGCCCCCTTCCCTCATGCAGTGGTCCCGCGTGTCATCCTCGAAGATGTCCCAGCCTGACGGCATGTACTCGGTATACCAGCAACCGAAAATGCTTACGAACACCAATTTGTCGAGAAAACAGCGATCAAGCGTAATCACAGCCACCATCACCGCTCTATCACCACGAAACTGGTTGTAGCAACCGCGACAACTATAGTAAGCATGAGGGCAGCGGCAGTACTAGCAACGGCCACAATAAAATTGTACCAGCTGTAGATATATATATATATATACACACACATACATATACATATCAACAGCCGCAGAAGCAGCAGTAGCGCTGGTGGTGGTGCTGGTGGTGGTGGTGGTGGGCAGCTAGCACCAACTACTCATTCCAACACGGCCCTACCACAGGAAAAGCAAGAATAGAAGACCCTCTGTTGTAGGACAGTACACAAACAGTACACGTTTCAGTCCGGTCAGCAGTAGAGGCAAACATGCCCCCTTAGCCCGGCTGCTGTTGCAGAGAACGATAGCCATGAATGCGCAGCGCACACGGCTGAACCTGAGTACAGCACCCCCCAATGAAGTCCCCAACTCAACGACTGTTGCAGGCAATGTGAGGCTACATTGGGGTGGTGCGTGGGCCTCCCCAGTAAAGCACCTCACAAGCCACCACCACTCGTGCTGGACCGAGCGTCCTCAGAGGCCGAAGAGGACACAAGGCAGTCTTAGAGTCTAGGTACTGGGTTGGAGCGATTTCTGATCGAGACCATGCGAGAGTGAAGAGAAGTTTAGACAACACCGTCACAAAAAACACGGGACTTGTCCATGGTACATCTGTATATCTCCATTTCGCCTGGTTACATCGCCAGCTTTGGACCTGGAACCTCCGCTAATAACTTGGAATCGGGGCAATCAGTTCCAGACATGTAACCACACTTGAAAGCGCAAACGGATTTTTGAACATGCAACTCAAACGCCACACTGTTCATCCGAATACTCTCTCAGGCACTGAGGAGTCTGACTCCATCCCTCTCTCTCTCTCTCTTCTCCTCCTTACCCTAATCCCTAAACCCTAAAGGCTATACATAATCTCTAGACCCTAAAGGCCACTTGCCTTGATCCCGCCAAGAGGCAGTCGCTCCAGGGCCGGCAGGTCTCCGAATGGCAGCGGCACACACTCAATCTCTGCACCTGGTTCTTATGTCTGGAGCTTGGTAGGGAATGGGGGAATGGGTAAAAGCGACTACTATAAGGGACCTTAAGGGACTATCATAGGGATCCATTCCGCCATTCCCTACTAAGCTCCAGACAGTCTTCTAGAACAGGCCCATGACCAGCAAGGGGTCTATAGACTCTTTGGGGTTTCTTGTTAAAGGTAATGTAGGGGCCTTAATAATTAGGATAGGGTTTTAGGGCCCATTAATTATGCCCTTAATATAATTATAATTAGGACCCCCCCAAAAAAATATAGGTAAATAGTAAAGCCCCTATAGTATGCAGGCATAGTCCGGAAAGAACCCCGAATTCTGGCGAAGACGCCTCTACAGAACCGGTGAAGCAACCTTGAATCCTGCATCGTGAAAACCCGAACTCCAAACTGCAAACCCAAAGTATGTAAATAAACAACAAAGCAAATACATAGCTAATTACATAAATAAGTGCATGTGTACATATGTATATATAGTTATCTTTTAGTTATGTATATATATATATACACACACATGTATTACAAGCTTTACGTCAGGGAGCCGTTCAGCCTGGACGTCTCGGCCATGAGCGGAACGACATCAGGCAAGTCGGAGGCGATCACCTGGCATAGCAGCTTGCGGCTGCGGACTTTGGTGATTTTTTGGGGGCTTTGGTGCTTTTGGGTTGTGGGCGTTTTGTGAAGTGCTTGGTTCACAGGTTTGGGGTCGAGCGCTCATCAATGCTTTCTGGGCTTCACGCATTTCGGGGGCTGACGCTTCGAATTAGCATTCTTTACTTGGAGGTTCATGGATAGTTATAAACGGGGTTATAAGTAGGGTAACTATAGTTATAAGCCATATTAGGGGACTTATAACCCTACTTATAACTACCCATGAGCCTCCAAGTGGGGTATAGGCTCGATTTATGGTCCAGTGTTCGGGGCCTTCTAGGTTCAGATGACAAGAGGTCAGAAGCCAAAGAAGAGGGCAAAGAAGCTCGTGTAAATGAACCCATGCTGGCATCAAGAATCAAGAACCCAAGTTCCACTGAGCTCGAAACCTACGACGGGTCATGTAGTTCGAAAAGGGTTAGAAGAGCTTGCGGCTCGAACACTAAGTTGAGGGAGTGTTGGAGATTAGCGACAACATCATCCCTGAGAAAAGAAGCTATCGGACAGGCGAGCCACTCGCTTCAGAGCTGGCTCCTTTGCAAAGGCGCACCTGCAGTAGGTTTAGGGTTTAGGGTTTAGGGTATAGGGTTTAGGGGGCATTCGGGGTTTTAGCGGTTGAGGAGTTTTTGGTCTGGGGAAGGTGACCCTGACCGTCGTGAATCAGGCTTGTGGTTCTTCCCCACACTTTTCAATCCCAAAGCCAGCACGCGCTGCCCACTCTAACACGCTCGAAACTAGACCCTGAAGCCACCCCGAAGCCGCGTGCGACTTCAGCACACCCTGAAACCGGAACCCTCGCCTGACACTCCAAAGGACATACCAAGCAAGGTAAATCCTCGTTAGCAGTCAGCCTCTACTCGTCAGTCCCTGCGCTTAGGATTCCCGTCGCGGAAACCGAACCTCTACCAAGATGAGCCAAATAACACCATGTTGAGAGTATAGTCCGTTAGATAGACAGTTTAGATCGATAGTTCGTTAGAGATATCGATAGATAAATAGTTTGGCTAGTGATATGTAACCTATTCAGCCGCCGGACGCCAAAGCCCCACAGCCGGCCCCAAGCTCCAGGAAATCGACGCCTGGCGGGCTTTGGCGGCAGAAGCTGAGGGTTCTGGCAATTTCGGGCCCAGGGTGCTTCGGAACTGGGAGGGATGTTGTTTTGAGGGGGTAGGATTTGGGCTTCTGGCCTCGGGCTTTGGTTTTGAGGCTTCAACTCCTTGGTTGTGCAGAACATGGCAAGAATCGGACGTTGCAACTGAGAGCAAAGTCGACTCGGACATCCCGAGAACGGATGACCGAAGCAGGCACAGTTCCTGACGATGAGACAACCGCCGAGCAACTCAGAATCACTCCAAAGGACTGAACTTAAATCGCGTTTTCCCTGGCCTTCTCTAGGCACCTCTTGATGGCAACGCAGCCTTTGAAGCAGATCAGCCGCCTCGACCGACTCGGGACTAAAGAGCTGCTAAAAGGATACTGGGACTTAGTAAGTAGGGTTATAACTAAGGTAACTGATCCTCCAAGTGTGGACGTGAGGAGCACATGCCGTGTGGACCTGAACCAGCCCTCGCTGCAATTCGGCTACCGGTCCTTCCAAATAGAAAAGGACAACTCTGACGGCTGGCATTTATGGTAATTTATAGTATGACTGCCTGCTACCTGTGAACCTGCTACATGTACAAGGAGAGAGAGATAGAGAGAGAGAGAGAGCGTGTTCATGCTCAGCACAGACAGGTACTCCACATATCAGGCCGGAGCAAGCGTTACTGGTAGTAGTAGAGTCTCTAAATACCAGGTAAGCCGTAGCTTCACCGTACTTATGGACTCATGATAAACGAAACATGTGCCAATACTCGTCGAATTTTGTCGGGGGCCATGCTGATCGTGACGTGACCAAGAACACAAAGAAGGGATTCCGGATGTTCCACTGACGCATGCACGGATGAACCACTGTTGACAATGGCTTCAGGCGAAGAGCCATCATGCAGCAGTGATGACTCTACAGGCACGACTGTAACAGGACCAACAACCCTCGACACTAACAGTATAGATTCTGTTGGGAGCCTCACCCTCTTTTCTCGGTGGGATACGTATCGCTCTTGATTCATTTTCACTGGGACACTGAAGAGTCTAAGAAGTCTGGACAGGTTGGCAAAGTGATGCATAGCTATGCAGACAGAAAGGTGCTGTTGGAACGACTTACAGGTGCAGCATGAGCGGAAGTGACGGCAGCTAACTGCCTGTGTGTATGCTCGTCCTGATGCCACACTTGGTCCTGTGCAATCCCTTGTTCTGACTTGAGCAACTGACGACCAAACAGCCACAGACGAGCCGGAGACTAGTTTGAATATCTTCTGGGGCATTTTCTTGAAAGGAGTGACAGCCACGACATGATGCACGAATGCTTGTGCATGCTACATAAGCAGGGCGCCGTCAGATCTTAGCCGGAACCCATCGACCTCCTTACCCTCTGCAGCTGGGATGCGACTCGGGCGCAGGGCTCCTGGGCGGGCCAAAAGACTCCCGCCACCCCGAGGGCATCGTCCGTCTGCACCTCTTGTGGCTGAACCCTAAATCCTAAACCCTAAACCCTAGCTTCTGGAGGGCTGCTCCTGAAGCTCCTGGTCGGTGGCTTAGAGCTCTGGTCTTGATCATCGAGCTGTGCAGCGGTTGCAAGCTGGAGTTTGCACAAGTACAAGGTGCGACCCCAGATGTGGGCAGGGCCTGTGTGGGCCAATCGTTGAATTTCCACAATTGGTTGGCGCAGCCATCGTTAGACACGCCAAGCCGCGCCTTTAGGCACCGGCCATGCAGCTCGTAGGTACCTTGCTGCGCAGGTGCCGGCATGGAGACATCAGCCGGCATAGCGATCCCAGATCCAGAAAATTCGGCTTCGAGATGCTCACGAGTGAGGACAAAATTGGGTGGCTCAGGTGGATTCTTGAGCATGGCACATGCCACAGTAAGTTCGGCCGCACATACCGACTTGTTTCGAGCTAGAGATGGACATACGCTCGGGGGTGCCGAACACTAAGGTCCACTAGTTGATTGGGCGTCCAATTCGAACATGCCGACAGATCTACAGAGGAATTGTGCTCGTGTACCTATTACCATGCTGAAAGCCATTGTCGACTGTGCGCGAATGCTTTTCCACAGAAGCTATTTTCATGTTGGAAATCAAAGCTGATCAGCCACAAAAGGCGTTCAAAAAAATACTCGCATTTGCAGCACGTCTTGTGTGACCAGCAGCCACAGCATCAGTATGCAATTCAACAGCCCTAGCCTGCAACTTTCTACCAATGTTCAGTCGAGCAGGCAGGATCGGATCATACGAAGAACCGAGAACAGCCATAGCGCTGGGCTCCGCGTGAGTCTACAGCTGGCGAAGACTTTGACAAAGCCGTCCTCGCTCGCTGCAAGGAGAAGTCTGCCATCATCCTTACGTACCAGCAAGGTTGGGACTACGCAGATAGATCAGGTTAGAAAGGTTCTGATCTTGTCAGGCCGGACATATCTTGGTACAGGTCTGAAGGATACGCCTCTCGAGAGGTATGGCCCAACCGAGCATTGCAAGCGGCTCCGCCTGGTAGGTGACCGAAATCCTGGCAGCTACCGCAAACTAAAATAGCTCCCGCAAACTAGAACCCCCTACTTGGAGGTTCATGGGTAGTTATAAGTAGGGTTATAAGTCCCCTAATTAGGGTTATAATTATAGTTACCCTACTTATAACCCCACTTGTAACTACCCCATGAACCTCCTATATTATGACATGGCCAAGTCTCACTGAGAACGGTGAGGGTCACGCTCTCCCATTCGTGGTGCGACACCTGCAGCAGCACAGGTGCTGCCTTGATTCAAGGGTGTAGGGTTGATTCTCACATGCATCGCAACACCTAGCCTTGGCATCTGAGAATCTAACTGGATGTCCTATAAAGCTGCGGATTTATTTGACAGGAACTTTGCCATGACGCTGTACCTGTTGGAAAAGGAGACTCTCGAGCTTCCAGAGCCTCTCTCCATGAAGCAATTCCAAGAAACCCTACGGATGAGGGTTTGGGGTTTAGGGTTTAGGGTTTCAGAACTGCATCTGAGTGCGAGGAGAATCGCAGAAACCAGTGATCATCAGAAAACCGCTGATGAATTCGTCGTGGCTGTTCCCCGCTTCCAGACCCGCACCGTGTATAATGTAGGACCTGGAGCATTAATCCAGGCCCTCATCCCGACACCCTACCCCTTGGATTCAGCTTCTGACTGAGACCTTCTGAATACTTGGAGGTTCATGGGTAGTTATAAGTAGGGTTATAAGTCCCCTTTCATGTGTTATAATTAGAGTTAGCTTACTTATAACTCCACTTACAACTACCCATGAACCTCCAAGTAGTAAAGCAGTTGGCCTTGACTGATGAAGTCAGAGTCCAAGCTGGTCGGCCCTGTGCCTGTCCCGAGAGCCGCAGCCGTCAGCTCCCGATGCTTCACACTGCAACCCTTTGTCCGAAAGCTGGACACTGCCCAGACTGCGACCATCTACCCGTGTTACAACAAGAATCTCGGCCTCACTGTCACATCGCGCATGTTGGAGCAATTCTGCTTTCAAAGCTTTTCCGCATCCCGAGCAGGAGCGTCGGCCTTGTGGCGCCACAGGGATGCGAGCCCAGCGCGGTGGCCGATAGCCACGGCACCTGAGCACGCGAGCAAGGCTTCCATGAATCATACCTTGCCGTCAAACCCCACGGTAACGGCTGTCACGGCCCGTCCCTTTGGTGTCATGAGTCATGACTCCCTCTCCCCAGCCCTGCTGTGCCTTGGCCTGTAAATCGGCTGAGCGCCGTGGCCCGCGGCAGCGAGCTGTCCTCCGGCTTGAAGTGTGGAGACATGGTCCAAGGCAGATTAGCAGGCTCCTGAAAATCAGAACGGGAAGTCTGTAGAAGCCGTAGGAGACTCTCTGAATAGTTGAACGATCTTTGCCTCGGGTACGGACTGAGGGCACAGCAGGATCCAGAAAGGAGCTGTCTTCTCAATGCAGAGAGGGTCATGCTTTGCCCTGGTTTTGTGGAAGCGGATCCTTGACTCTACATTGCTAGCTTTTCGGAAGAGAACTGGGAAGACACTGCGACTTGTTTGGGAGTTTCTGAACGAATGAAGTGTGGCGAGAGTTCACGTCTTTCCAGGGTTTCGCATTACAGGAAGCTGGGCTGTTCTCAAGAGTCTGGAGAATCCTCTGAGGACCTTCCGACCACCGAACCTAGTTGTTCAGACCGCCAGAGATTAATATCCCAACTATGGAATTTTAAACCACGCCGTCCTCCAGCCAGCCAAGGTCCTGTCAGTCAGCGGTCAGAGGTTTGACAACAACCGTACAAACAAAAGCAAACGGCAATGCTCGTTACAATCAACGATCGTGCACAGATCGTGCGAACAAACCAAGACTACAAACCAGACCAACGCTACTAGCAGTGGCAACAGCGCTGATATATTTGGATTCAAGCATCCTTTCAATTCTAGTTCTCTTGAAGCTTGTTGGGCGAATGGTGCGGGAAACAGCCCGGTTAAGTAGTCCTAGCGACCCATGTATGCAGGTCCCTCAATCTACGTCTAGATCGCCCACCTCTGTTTCCTGCACTTCTCCCACCAACGATGTCCGCGCGCTGCGGATGCCTGGGACGGTGGCAGCATGTCTCCTACATAGGGCAGAACTGGATTTTTGCTACAATGGCTACGGTACTTGGAGTCAGAATCAAGATCATGCTGCGATCTAACTACCATACCCCAAGCCGGCATCGAGATCATCCAACCCGACATATGCTGCCGAGCAGCGGCCCTGGAGGCCCCGGAGGACGACGACCAGCTCTTTCTCAGGGGTGCAGCTACAGGTATTTAGTTAATACATATATATATATATATACACACACACATGCAGACATATGTATTTGATCTGAAGCAGACATCCTGATCGTAGACGATACACTGGAGGAGGGCTTGTCCATACACCTTTTGTATACTGAAGGCAATCCAAGAGCTCTCTGTCAGTCCAGGTTGCGTCAAACATGCGCAGTGGGGAGATGACCCCTTCCTCAGATGGGCAGTTTTCACGGCCCACGACTCTTGTTGGACATGTCGCTTGCAGGCCTCGAAGCATGCTGCTGACACATCATGTGGCTTGCATCTGAAGGTGTTTGAGCACAAGTTCTACATGACTTCACTGATCTACTGTCAATACTGTTGTAAAAAAGCTAGTCCTAGGCTGGGATTCGAGCTCGGACAGCCTCGCTAAGCTTCGCGGCCAAGGTTCAGCCAGCCGCTCCTGGCTTCGCTGCAGGTCCCTCGACCTCCTTTCGGGAAGCCTCTCAGGCTGGAGAGCTGCGAATGTTTAGATAGATAGATAGATAGATAGATTAATAGATAGATAGATAGATAGATAGATAGATAGATAGATAGCGAGATAGATAGATAGATAGATAGATAGATATAGATTATTAGTATAGACGAAGCTCTGTCTGCTTGAGGCAGCGGCACGTGGCCAATCTGCCACCGGATGCCGTCGCCAGCCTTGTAACACAGCGACCATGAAGTCTCCAGGCTATCCACAATAGGGTAGTTCTCTAAATTAAAAGGTCCCCAATATAGTACGGCATCCTTATAAAAAGGCCCCTAAAAGGGACCTCAATTTAGAGAACTGCCCGAGAAGCGCGGCCAGCTTCCATGGTAGCCAAGCCCACGGCCACTTGCAAGGTCACCAGCCCAGCCTCGCTGAGTTGCTAGGCTACGCGGATTCTGTACAAGGGTAGTTCTGTAAAATAGGATCCTTTTTAAGGGTCCCTTTTACAAGGGTGCCTATTTTAGAGAACTACCTATAAGTATAAAGCCTACCGGGCACGACCTTTCACCCCAACGACAGTTCAGCTATGGGGTACATGCAACCTCTGTAACTGTAACTCTCCAAGCACCGTGTACTGAATGGAATGTGAAAGAACGACCAGGACAAGCCCAGCACTATTTATAAAAGCACGCGCACCGCTGAACTTCGTTTCATTTTTGCTACAGGCTGTAGTGACAACTTCAGTTTTTTTTTATTTCAGTCCCTCAGTAGGACAAACGCACACCCGCAGCACCCTGAAGCCACAATACTTCCAAAGCAAGGGGGTGCAAACTGGACAGGGGCCGTCGGAGCTTAGATGACCGGCCGTCCACGATGACAAGGACATCCGAACACCCCACCAGGTCCCAGGCAAGGGCTTCGAACATAACCCTAATACAGTGCTACCTGTAAGCATGACCTTGCTCCAAGGCAAAATGAACTCAACCGCTATGACAAAGCACTCAGAGACCTCAATGCCCCAGAAACAGACAAGAAAGACATCATAACCCTAAGCCTGCTGCCTCGCTCGGCTGTGACACTTCACCAGGGTCAGCTGGCTCCAAAGCATTGGAGTCGTCAAAAGCTTTGCATGACGACCTCGAGGCTTAGCACGTGCGGGAGTCTGGTCACCATCAAAATCATGCATGTGATTGATTTTGTCTTCAGAACGGTTGGATCTCAGGAGCGAAGAGGTCGCTTACGTGCCATCAATTCCCAAGGACTCATCACCAGGTCGCCAGGGATTCTAGCATGTAGCCCGGCTTAGGGCCTCGACGCTCAGGCATCTTTCTGGTTTCGGGCGCAGTTCTTCTTCCAAGTCTGCTAAGATCTTGGCCTATATGGTCTGGGCTGCTTGAGCATTACCGCTTGAGCAGTAGTGCTGTGTCTTTGCATGCTCCCTAAGTTCTCCTGCACCTGCTGGCGTTTGTGGTACAAGCAGCAGTCAATTCATCATCAGCAACATGACGAAAGGGCCACCTTGCAGCCAACGCCACCACCACGACCACCACCCTTCCTACAACGATTTGGAGTCGTCTTTTGTTCTCTGGTGCCCATGGCTGAGGGCAACGCTCCGCGCTGCAGGTCTCTTCACTTCCGCAGAGGAATGACCTTGCCGGATCATATTGGGCAGAACCTGGCTTTGGTTAACATAGGGTGCTGACGAACTTTTTGCGATAGTGATGATGGTGATTACGGTGCTCCAGGGATACCCACGCTGAGTTAACGGCAGTGAGTTTGATTCCTAGTCGAACTAGCGGTCATTCGCGTCGCATCGCGGTGATCGTAGCAGCCATACTCTGATACCAATCCTGCTGCTTCTGTTTCACTGTTGAAAACCCGAGCTAAGCTCGTGCATGACGGGTCTTCTGCAGCTGTCGGCAAATGACGATGCTCCGGGGCGTTGCAGAGGAACTCTATCTGCGAGACCCAACCATGAAGGATTTCAGTTTGCACAGTCTGTGGACATCCACTGGGCTTGCCTCAGCAGCACCAGGCAGGCCAGGCAGCGCAAATGCATCGATCAGGCAGCAGAGAAGGGCACAGTCTCGCGGTTTCGATGTGGGGACTCTGAGACTCTAAAACCGAAACCTCTGTGTTTCTGCCTGTCGAATCCGACAAATTTGGAATGCATGGTCAGGAAAAAGTGACCGTTAGCTCAAATCTTGAGCCGCGGCGGGTTCATGCTCGAGTGAAATCGCTCAAAGTAGTACAAGTATCAGCAATAACAAGAGGCGAAACTTCCACTCTGTACCGAAGCCTCTCTGTACCAAACTCAGACATGGTGGTTCGGGTAGTCACGGGTACTTGGAGGCTCATGGGTAGTTATAAGTGGGGTTTTAAGTAGGGTAACTATAACTAAGACTATAACCCTAATTAGGGGACTTATAACCCCACTTATAACTACCCTAAACCCTAAACCCTAGACCCTATAGAACCCTTTAAAGGAACCCTTAAAGGAACCCCATAACCCCACTTATAACTACCCATGAACCTCCAAGCACGGGTAGTCTAAAACCCTAAACCCTAAACCCTAAACCCTAAACCCCTAAACCCCTAAAACCCTAAACCCTAAACCCTAAAACCCTAAACCCCTAAACCCTAAACCTCCTTAAGACGAAGGCTGACTGGGAGACTCTCCCGGGCCTGCTGTTGCTTCATGGGAAGGTCAAGGCTCCCCTCGCAACTCTCTGCAGAAGCCGTCTTAGGGTTTAGGGTTTAGGGGTTTAGGGTTTAGGGTTTAGGGTTTAGGGGTTTAGGGTTTAGGGTATAGGGTTTAGGGTTTAGGGGTGTGTATAAATTGCGACCTTGATGTTACAGCTTTGGGCCTTGTCTTGACCACACCAAAGGCTTCTCTTTCAAGTCCACTCGCTGGGGCCGGCTCCGATCCCGTGCCCAGGGTGAAAAGACCCAGTTCCGCGCTGGAACCCCAAGCACTTTGGCTCAGGAATGGGGCTCGGGATTTTCAAGGGCTGTTAAGTCGAAATAAACTAATCTGGCGCCCTGACACTTCATGGGTGGTTGTCAAAATCATGGTCCCTTTTTGGGTCCTTATTATAATACCGCACCTATTATTTAGGGTACCCCAAAAGGGACCATAATTTTGACAACTGCCCATATGTCGAGCTCCAAGCCTTAAAGCCCCAAGCACAAGTTCCACAAAAGCGTCAGCAGCACTCCAACGACCGAGGATGGACACGCCGACCCGGAGGGGCCTGAGCACACTGGCCGCTCCCCGATCTAGAATTCGGGGTTCTGAGACTCGAGTTTGGTCTAGGGTGGAGGATTTCCGCGTTTTCGACTTTGTGCTGAATCTTTGTGGTTGGGCTTGGGGCATTTTGTCGAAAGAACAACATGCGGCATGGAATGCCACACCTGGAGCCACACCTCGGCTAGGTGCCGTTGAAGTCAAGCTTGGGCAAAGACCTTCCAAAGGCTCGAACAGTGCTGCTGAGGTTTGCCACAAACCCTCAGCATCCCTTGTACATGGTGGACCATGTCATCTGCATTCCCGACCCAACCTGCCTCTGACACCAAAGAGCTTCCCGGCTAGATCTAGTCACAACTGTCACCGCAGTCAGTTTGCCCCGACTCCAAAATGCTGCAAAGAAACTAAACATCTTGGACTTGCACAGTGAAGTCCGCTAGTCCCGAATCCTCTACATGCGAATTCAGCGCCAGAAGCCCAAACCCTCAAAACGCCAAGCGCCCTGAACAATGCTACGAGCCCTAAAACCCAAACCTTATATCATAATGTAGGGGCCTTGATAATTAGAAAAGGGTTTTCGGGCCCATTTCAACGAATATAGGTAATTATTTAGGCCCCTATACTATCTGGGGCCCCAACCTACGAGTCCGGACCATGTCACGTCGAAGCCCGACTGGCGGCCCTGTCTGGAAATGCTCCGTTTCGGCTTTGGGGAGCTTATTTCGGGGAATATGGGATTTGTGTGGCTTTGGGTTTAAAGTTGTTCTGTTTCGGCTTGGTGCTTTGATATCCTTGGCTTTTGGGGAGGGGGCCGTTGTAATTCAAGGATCGTCTCGGGGCTGGGTCTTCAGTTCTCATAGGGTTTTTGTGCGGTATGCCATGTCAGCTTGAGTTCTCTACGCTGCTACACTAGTACGATTCAAGCGAGTTACCGTACAGCCGGAACGACCCCCAAACAGCGTAGCCCCCCCTTCTTGGAACCCTAGCCCGAGACAAATTCACCAACAGCATAATGTAGGGGCATTACTAATTAGAATAGGGTTTCGGGGCCCATCATGCTATACCTGTAATAAGGAACCCCCAAGATAGTATTGGTAACTATTAAGGCCCCTACATTGAATTCGCTTCTTTGGCATCGACCGAAGGTGGCCTCGTGCATGACCCGGAAGAAGCGCAGCCCGGTATCGCCATCAATCTCTGACTGGAGCCGCCTCGTTTTTGCAGACTCCGTTCTTCAGAGTTTTGGCTTGTAGGGTTGGTGGTTTAGAACCCTACACCCTAAACCCTAAACGGAAGGGTTTTAGCGTGTAAGACCGTGTAAGATTTTGTGCTGAGTAAGGATGCTTTCGAGATCCAAAACCACGCTCGGCAGAAACCAAGATCAACTCATCTTGCGCACGTGATAATGTAGAAGCCTTAATGATTAGAATGGGTTTCTGGGTATATTACACTATAACTATGACAAGGAACCCCCCCCCCCCAAATACTGTAGGTAATTATTTAGGCCGCTGTATTATGAATTTCTGGACCCCACTCGGCTCGTCCGCAGATAAGACTGTTCAGGCGGAGCTCAGCCACGTCGACCGTAGATTGAAACAGCAATGCAACCAACACCCTTTTAGCGAGAACCCTGGTTGTGACTATGCGCATCTGTGAAGGAGCTCCCAGAAAGCCCAATACTCCTTAATTAAGGAATATTCCTTAAATCATAATATTAAGGCCCCTATAATTTAAGGTATATTGGTTAATTAAGGGGTATTGGGCTCTCTGGGCTATGCGAACGTTGATATTCAACCACACTTTCTTCACAGGAATGACGGATCCTCATCAGGTGCATCCGCCTAGGCATGCAAGAAACAGACAGGCACAGCCAACAACTCTCATGGGCTTCCCGAACGAAGGCCTGAAGGGCTGAAGGGTGGTCAGGTTTCCCCAAAAAGAGAACCGAGGCAGAAGGCCTAAGCAAACACCATCAACACCTATCTTCCCAGAGTAGCGAAACCTCTCCTCAAACCTTCACCTTCACCTAAAACTTGAAGTCATTGTAGTTAGAACTACCAGTATAACATACCTAATTATTCAATTGAACATTATTGCATGTTATTATTATCATGATTATGATTATCATTGTTATAAATGGATTAGTGTTATCAAGCCTGAAAGCGTAAATCCCCTGTCGAGCCCGGCACCTGTCGGACAGGCGCTTGCTTAGCGCATCTGGGCCGGAGGCGGGCGTGGCCTGCGCTGTTCAGTTCGTGGGCTTTGGGGTTTAGGGGTTTTTGGGTTTAGGGGTTTAGGGGTTTGGGGTTTGGGGATTTAGGGTTTAGGGTTTAGGGCTTAGGGTTTAGGGTTTTGGGCTTTAGGGTTTAGGGGTTTAGGGTTTAACGGCTCCTGTAAGGGATCCTAGATGGGTTCCTTTAAGGGT